AAAAAAAAAAAAAAAAAAAAAGAAAAAAAAGAAAAAAAAAGAAAATGTAATAACTGATATGATTTTGTAAAAGTATTTTTCTTGAAATAATCTAACGTTTAAAACATTATATTAAAAAAAAAAAGTTGTGTGGTGGGAATATGTAAGCAGAGAAATAACTTGTAAATGGATAATTTTATTCTCTGTACCACCAGTTGGGGGTGGGGGTGACTTTCGCAATGTATAGGTTAAAAAAATCTGATATATCAAACCATTTGTATCTAATGTGTACAGTGTAAAATTGACTTTAAAAATATTGCAGTGCTATTTTTTCTTAATCAGAAAGGAAAATTCTCAAGGCCTTTTGAAGAGCATAGATGATGAAGATTGTAAACTTGTATAAAATTATCTTGGTGAGAAGACAAATTGTAAAGTAGATATTTGTAATCTTTTACCACTTTGGGGTTGCTTTTTTTTCCCAGAATTCATCAGAACTTTGAATTTTTTTTTTTTTTTTTAATATGGGCTGTTTTTAATGCAGGGGCTTTTCTTCCCTAGAAACCCAATTCTAAGCAAAAAAAGAAAAAAACCACAAAAAACAAAAAAACCCCTACAAAAATTAAAAAAAAAAAGGCAGCAAAGGGTAGTTTTCATCTGGTGTCTTTTATTTAAGTTTTTTAAGTTAAGAAAAGCTGGTGACATATTTATACGTTTTTGTGCAAAAATAAATGAATGGCAATAGATTTTAAAAAATCTTATTATGTACTTCTGTGTGAAAAAGTCTGTATAATATTTCCCTTAAATATGCATTATTTTACTTGTGAGTTTTTTACTGAATTAATCTGAAATGTACAAGCCCTGGATTTGCTACAGAGTGAGAAGTTATTTTATTTTTTTTTTTATTTTTAATTTTGGAAATTCTGCAGAAATCAGAACTCTTACCATGGTTTGAACTAAAAGGGGGAAATGGGGAGGGGAGAGGGGCGGGGTTGTCCAGCATGCTTGTATGTATATTTCAGAACCTTTTTTAAATGTAAAAGCTGTACATTTCTGGGAAGTTCTGAATTTCTTTGGTTTCCTTTTTTCCTTCAAGCATTTTGCAGTGAGCTTCTTTTATATATAGCAAACAATTTGAAAGAATACAAAAATATGTGAAGTTCATTTAAAACCACAGTATCGCGCTGGGACAGTACACTAAGAGACTTTGATAAAAAGAAACAATACTAAAAGGCCTCCATTTTAAATGTCATTCATATATACCTTGTGAATGAGAGCTATATACTTTTACACACTTTTTTAGAGGAATAAATTATTGAATTACTGAAATTTGAGTGGCTTTTTTCCCTCCCATCCTGCCTCTGTAACAGAATCATCTAAGCCTGTTCAAAAGGTGCATGTATAATGGATTGAATAGTCCTTGGCTAGTAGCCGGGCTCTACCTTCCAGAGTAACAAGGGCATCGACTTTTACTGCCCTAATCACCCTCACCAGCACCTGTTCTCAGACTGTATTCTCATTCTCATGCTTCAAGGTACAACTGCATTCCTAGAGCAGTGCTTAGAGACTACGCATGCACGCGCATACACACACACACACACACACACACACACACACACACACACACACACACACAGCGTTGAGTTAGGAGCCCTTGTGTTTAGTTCTTTAACTGTTTTGAATAGATCAGATCTGTGTCTCCCAGCTCTAAGATTGTAGTCAATCCTAGGAGACATTACAAGTCTGTTTTCTACTTCCTTTCTCTTCATGGTCTAGGCCAGTTTCTTTTTGATGTGCCTTAGAAAAATAACAGATCTCTCCTTGTTCTCTGCCCCATTTATAGGCTGGTGAGAGTAGTGTGCCATTGAACACCCCGGGTACAAGCAGGGCTCTGGTGGACCATGCGGCAGCCACCATGGTATTCCCCTGGGGTCCATCCAGTAGGAAAAACCTGCGTGCTCTTAGGAGCAGAATCTCGTGCTAAAATGTGAACCCCAGGACTTGGCAGAACTTACAGAGTTTGGATGAACCGAAACCTTGCTTTTAATCTTCTTCTATTTAGAGATCTACACATTGTTCTGAATTTAATGTTGTCTGAATGTAGAGGTAAAGCTGTTGACACTACTCGGCCTCAGTTATTTTATCCGCAGATAAGGGACAAGGCTGAGTGTCTGAGAAATGCTTCGCAAACGCAACGCCGTGACCATGTTACTATAGTTGTACCATCGAAGACGGCGAAAAGCGAGGCCACGTTTCAGTTAGAAGACCATTTTGATGTCTGTCTCGTCAGACACCAGCCACGGCGCTGTAATGCTGCTTGCCACAAAAGCATTAAACAACTACATGCTTCCTGCATCCGTTGTAATCAGGCTGGGCCCCTGAATCATCAGAATTAGATGGTATTTCTTCAGGTGTTCATTAGTTCAGATACTTAGCTCATACATCGGATGGGACTTTATCCAACAGTTTGGGGAGGTGGTTTTCATAACCACTAGCTGTACCAATTTGGCGACAGTAGCTAAACCTCTTTGAGGCAGAAAAGTTATTTCTCAAATGCATTTAGACATTTTGCACATCAGGTGTAGATAAATGTGACCAGGCGCTCAAGAACCATCAGCCTCCAGCCATTTGCTCCGCTCGGATTCCATACAACGCCAGCCCCCTCACCCCCTCCAGTGATGCCATAGCATCGTTTAATGTTCTCGCTGTTCAGGAAGTTGCGGGACAAAGCATTTGTTCCCAACTGTCAACAAAGAGCCAAAAGAATTTTTTTGTAAAAATTGCAGTTTGTCAATGGAAGTTTTTTAAAAGCAGATTTCTCAGAAGACTCAACTCCAAAGCAGGAGCCACATACTGGAAACTGTCCTTGGTACTGGTCATTCATCCAACACAAGCCCTTACACAACGAACATTTTTTTCACTTTTGAATTCACTACATGCTCAAATCCTGCCAAGAGGCGATTTTAATGTATCACCATGTTATCTTGGTGTTAAATGATTCGCTTCTTTATATCCCCTTGACAAAAAGGTCACTTTGACAGTAATTATTTCATGTTATTAATACCTAATGAGACACCATTAGAAAATTCTGTTGTGCCAGGTGAATTGTACGGTTGTAATGATTGCCCTGGGCATCTTATTCTACTTGGAACCAGATTTACCGGTCTTCCGCTCCTTTGCTTGAAAATTTCAGGTCAAGTTTAAAAAAGATTTGTTAACAGTTACTGCTTCTGGCTAGAACTCTAAAGTAATGGAAAGAAATAAATAAAGCATACTTTATATATATATATACATGAATAATCACTGTCAAATTATATATATATATATAT